ATATATATATATATATATATATATATATATATATATATAAAGAAAGACTTAGGTTCATTTGTAAACATTTATCTATTGTGTGAATGTATAACTAATTTTAGACCAATCAATAGATAGTGACATTCTAGAAAATTAATTAATTAATTACTCAAACTAATAAGTCTATATTTATGGAATGAAACCTCGTGTCTGCTTCTTGCTCTTTATCTCTACCCTTAATCTCCGTCGTCTTCACAACCATTTTGTATCTCGCTTTGCTCGTCACTGTTGTCCATATTCCAGATCGAAGACTCCTACTTTCATCCCTCTTCTTTTTCCCACAAATCGGTAATTGTTGGCGTTAAGTGTATATTTCGAGCTACACATCTTCTGTAAGGGGGCAGACCGAAGAAGACGAGATCGGTGGAGATTCCTTCAATGGTAAAAAAAATACTTTATACATCCATATAGTCTCGATTAATGGTCGTTCTTGTTTATGAGAGTTTCCCCCAACTTAAAAGGCCGTCGATTTTTTATGCTCTCACCTCCAAAGTTTTTATCTCTCGAAAAGCCCTTGCCCAACTAATTTTATCGAATTTTGTTATGCATTTTTATTGTGAAGCAAGTTTTTTGGTTCTCTTCTAGGTGCAATTCGAGTTAGGTTTAATTCCATTTATGGTATAATGTTTTTGTTGTTTAACAAATTTTGGGGTTTAATTCAATTATGGGTTTAACGTTTTTGTCATTTAATTTGATTTAGGGCTCAACTTTTTGTTGTTTAATGAGGAGGCATGGTGTTATGATACAGAGGATAGTAAGATACATAATTGAAGGCCCATGTCTACTTAATTGGGGAGCGAATCTATACTTTTGCATCTACTAAATCTGAGGTTGCTGATACTTGCTTTTGACTTGGTTATTGTGTTCCTTGGTCATGATAAGTTTATTTAAAGTGTCAATGGAATGAGAATGGCTTTTCTAATAAACCGCGGAATAAGATACCTTCCAATTCAATAAAAGCTCTCAAGAAATTCATCAAAAAATTCCTCCAATGACTAATCATCCTATCACCAATGTTATGTAACAGGTATGTGTTGCTTCTTTCTATTCAAAAAAAATTATTCTTTGTCATATGTTTCCTTCATTGTTACATATGAATCAATGGAACACGTTTGTTTAATAAAACGCCTAAATGAAATCCATTTTTATTTTCCAAGTTTGAAAATCTTATTACTTAGGCTTATTACTTTGCCAACATGAATTCTTTATGATGTGTTACAACAATTCAATATGCTATATTTTTGTTGCATGAATGTAACAAAGATACTTTCTGTTAACAAGTTATGAACAAAGATAACATCTACCAACAAGTTATGAATCTATACTAAGTTATGAATCTGTACCACCTAAATGATCCAAAACTTCACTTTATGTCACACACTGCAAGAACAATACAACATATGCATGTTTGTATTAACAATGTTATGTTATTCTTTAAGAATTTATTTTATTTCTTTCATGTATTATTCTTAAGAATGTATTTTATTTTTTCAAAAATGTTATTCTACAAGAATTTTAGTTATCTAATAATATGTAATTCCTTATTCTTTATGAATGTCATTTATTTTTTCAAGATTGTAACTATTATTCTTAAAAAATATAATATATGAACTAGTACTTATGACATTACTCAAGAATAAGAATCATAAGAATGAAGACGATCAAAACAATTTTCAATAAAAACTTATTCTTCAAGAATAAGAATAATTTAGAATGGAAACCCAATTATATTACTGGGAACATCCAAAGCAATCTCCAATAAAAAATATATATATATATTTTAAAAAAACGAGAATGATAAGAATGGAAATTAAATTCTACAAACGTATAAAAAAAGTTAATTTGTATTTCTAAATTTTATTATTATTATTAATTAATTTTATTTAATTTCCAAAAATACATGTAATTTTCATTTCTCTCTCTTAATAAAATGTCATATTTGTCTTTATAACTAATTAAGTGTAGTTATATAGTAAATGTTAGTTGATGTTATTACCATGTATCCTAAGATCATATCCCTTCATTTATTTTAATCTAATGGCTAGAATTTGGTCACACATTCACACAATACTTGTGATTCACATTTGATCCTAGACTTATATATATATATATATATATATATATATATATATATATATATATATATATAGAGAGAGAGAGAGAGATCTTATAGAGGATGTTATTCAAATGAATATGGTTGAAGATAAATCATATATCTTGAACCATATTCATTGGAAACCCTCCAACCTTTCACCTTATGCTACTTAATGATTATTTTATTGAAATGTTTTTGTGTATAAAAGAAGCATTTGGCCGTCTTTTGTTTTTTTTTTTAATTTTTTTTTTAATTTTCGTTATCTATATTGTATGAAAATGAAGTAGTTTGAAATATGTTTGTTTTCTTTTTTCTTTTATTATTTTGGTTAAATTCCATTTAAAGTTTATTGTCTATATGAGCCAATCCAAAAGTTTTTGATATTTAGAGATAATGAATAATTGTGTCAAGGTTGTATATTATTGGCAAAAAAAAGTGTTGTCAATTTTAATATGTGTTGTCAATTTTAATATGTGAAAGTGTGTTGTCAGTTATAGGTGAAGGTTGAATATTTAAAGATAAAAGAAAAGTGTTGTAGATTTTGATGTTTTTGAATTGTGGTATGAATATAAATGTGTTTGAAGTGTGTTTTTGAAAGAAAAATGAGATATAGTATTGACTTTTAATGGGTTATGTTCATATTGATGAAATAAATACAATACATAACATGGAAAAAATATATAAATTTTATATGTTTGAATTGTTTTTCAAACAAAGAAATAAGATAACAAGTACAAAATTTTGCAATAAAAACTATATTTTATTGTTATTCTTCACATTGATGATCAAAAATTGTGTTGCGATGAAAAGAACAATATGTTGACTACATTATTAGTTGGTGTAAATTAATTCAAAATGTGATTATTATAATACCCTTAAAACATTCTTATATTTTTTAAGAATCGTGGTTTAAAAAGTTTCCACATATTTAAGGTATTTCAAAAATCCTGGATTTCAAAGGCCATAAAAATATATTTTAAGCCCTTTTGAATTTAATATCTTATATTTATTTATCCATTTATGTGTAAATGGTGTCATGCATTGCATATGTACATTTGTAAGGTAATATCATTTATTATGATTTGATTCAACTGTCCTTTTTTTTTCCTAAAAGATATTATAATTAAATACAATACAATACAAACAACAATTATTATTTAAAGGCAAATCAACACTTTTATGAAAATTAGTTATCATCATTTGAATTCCATTCTTGGATAAAAAAACATTATTGTTTTTCACTGTGTATTTGTTATTGTAATTTAATACACATAAATGTTATTAACTTTTTGAACACGAAATCATATATGTACAAAACATAGTTTTTATGAAAATTGATTATCATCATCTGAATTTCATTCTTGGATAAAAACATTATTGTTTTTTTTTTTCAATTTGTGTGTTATTATAATTTAATACATATAAATGTTATTAACTTTTTTGAACACAAAACCTTATACATACATAACTTAGGTTTTTAATAAATGGTTTTAAGGTTTTTCTTACATAATATTTAGTCTATATATTATATGATTATATTATTCGTTTAATTTACTAAACATAATTTTAATATATTAATCTTATTTATTTAATACTCATAAGTATCAATTAAGTGTTACGAATAAAAAACCTCATTGGTTGTAGTGATTTCTTTATAAATAACATTTAATTAGAATTTGGAAAGTTTGAATATTAAAATAGAATTTCAATGCAATTAATAACTTTTTATTACATCAATGTGGCTAAAGATATATATTTCAGTTACTCTTACCAACACTAACTTAAATAATCACCATTTATATAATAACCTACGCCCTTATACAATTTGTCTTATATAAATAATACACATAGAATATGGACACGCATAATTAATTTTTGAAACATGCGCAATGCGCATGTATTTGCCTAGTATATATAGGTTAGAGACATGTGTATTACACGGATTGACAACTTAGAAAATCAAACTACATTGCTAAAATATGAAAAAAATACAATACTAAAATATGACGAAATATAAAAAAAGTATATGAATGAATATGAAAGAATATGAAAGTAATATGATGAATATATATGAAATATGGATTTTATAATCTTCATTTGTTTCTATTCAAAAGTTATACTTTTAATGTAGAACAATAGTGTACTTTAATAAATGTATAAACAAAAAACCACATATACACGGAGAAATAGCAAGACTTTAAAAGTATAGTGTTAAAATAGTAAAATGTAACATCCAGAATTTCAGGTATAGTTCTTTAACCTTGCGACTTTGTAGTTTTGGGATTTTTTTTCCATGACCATGACATGGTGGCATCCTAGCCACGACGTGGTGGTGGCTGGAGCTCAAAACCCTAGATTTCGGGCCATGGCCCTCTTTAAAAGAAGTGATGACTAGAGTTTTATCCATCCTCAACCCAGGGGCGGAACCAGGAATATTCATAAGGGGTAGCCCATATTTTTTCTTTCGCCCCTACAAGGAACTGAACTTCAGAAAGAACATCTGATAAATTAAAAAGACTTTCTTTGATAAAATGTCACTACAGCATTTATGCAAACACCTTGTGCGCATATCAATGCTTTTACTAGTATTTAATTATGTAATTTTGTATGAAAGGGGAAAAGAAAGAAAGAGCACCATATACCAACATTACATATAGATTGTATGACTGATGCGTACCTTATTTATGAGTTTTCACTGTCTCATTTGTGTACCTTATTTATGAGTTTTCACTGTCTCATTTGTGAACCTATTAGCATCGTGAGTTTCGGATCATACTGGTAAGTGGCTATCAACCAACCTCCCCTACGTCTGGTGAGAATAGCCACCATAACCTACTAAAACCACCACTGATTCGCTGCACTATACTCACACCTGCAAATCGAAAAAAAAAGATAAATCTTCGTTCTCTATGTGAATCCCATCAAACCCACGCACCCTTCTCCATCTCGCTCATCAAACCTGCAAGTCGATTAAAGGGAAATAGGTTGAACCTCGTGTTCTTTTGTGCGATTGAAGGGAAAACGAGAGAGACAGCCGATGAAATTTGAATCAGAACAGAAAGAAGACAGATGAGAAATTAATCGATTGCAAGAGAAGGAAGGGGGGCTTGAAGAATAAAACAGCAAAAGTGTGCATATCTCGAATGATTTTGAGGGGTATCCCGGGCTACCCCGGGATCCAATGTGGATCCGCCAGTGCCTCAACCTCCATCACTTCCAAGTTCCTTGAACCATACCCTAATCCCTTATCTTCCATTTCTAAGTTCTTTGTTAGTATTCGTGGTTATTTGAAGGAAGGAAGAAGAGTAGTGGTGTAAATAGATCAGAAAGTTAACATCATTCTATACTCCTTGTGTATATTTCTAGAATTTTGTAAGTCTACAAGCTCTTACCTTTTGTTCATTCTTCTTAGATCTAAGCTTTGTAGCATGTTTCTTCCTATTTGTGTTGGTTTGAATGGTTGGATCCAATAAAGTTGACAACTTTATTGATCCATGAGGTCCCAAGGAGGTTCTATGCTCCAGATCTGAAGTTTTATGTACTTTTTGTTTCAAACATGGGGTTTTGACCCAATTTCTCTTTTTTAGACATAATTTGAGTACATGACATGCATGAGAAGTGCATGTCCATAAAGTAAGGATTTTTATGATGTTCATGAGTGTAAGGAAGCTTTCTAGAAAGTTTAAGTATGGGTCTTAAGAGATTAAGGGCTTAATCCATTAAGTTTTTTAGTTTAAATTCCACGACGTGGTGGCGGGACTCATCACGACTGTTTTGTCGTGTGACAGCCACGACATGGCCAACAGTTGGCATGATGTGGTGACCTCCTGATTTGAATTTGACCATTGGCCATTGACTTTTAACCTTGTTGACTTTTAGTCAAAATGCTAGTTTGGTTGGTAGACTAAGGCTTAAACTTCTGTGATTCATTAGGTGGTGTGTATTACCAGCTTCCCATGTTTGTGAGTTGTGATTTAGTCTACTCTGATTATCAAGGTTAGTCTTCTCATTATATTATGTAGAATGCTAGACTGTCTTTGCGACTCATATATGTATGTTGGGCGGTGCTCGTTATGTATGTTGGGAAGGGCCCGTCATGTATGTTGGTTGCGACCCATATTGGTATGTGGTATCTGGGGAGCTTTGTGCTTACAATTTGATGTTTAAAATATTTCAGGTACTTCTAGTAGCAAAGGGAATGACCCGACATGATTGCATTACATCCTGTAGAGATTTCATACTTTTGTTTGTGATACTCTGATGTTGTTTTTGAAACTATCTAGGGAAAATGACATAAATGCCCTACAAAGTTTCTAGGGTTGGTCGATTCAATCCCTAAAGTTTTTGTCGGGCTTTATAGGTCCCTAAACTAGAATACAACCTGCTCTTTTAGTCCCTGTCAACCTGTAATAGTCGGTTGACCATTTAGACCAGAAAAACTTATATTGTACCCTATAAAACCAAAAAAATAAGTTCGGGGACTGAATCGACCAAACGTCGAAACACAAGACATTTGAGCGTCTTAGTGGTCCTTAATGCTTAGTTGATGAAAAAGCTTTACTCCGTTAACTCCGATAACCCTGATTGCACATGAAGAACAGATAGGAACTTACAAAGGGGAAGTTGGCAGAGAAGGGGAAGTTGTACAGCAATGGGCGTCTAGGACGAAGGTTATCTGTATATTTTAAGTTGTTTATTCATTTATTATTATTATCATTATTTTAAGACAATGAACCTCATCCAAAAGCAAAACTTAAAAAAGAAATAAAAAAAAATTGGAAAAGCCACGTCTCAGAATGATAGTATTAGATAAGAAAGTTAACATGTCCATTCTTTATCGATTCTCAAACATTTGGATTTCTTTATTAGATTAATACTAGATTAATAGATATTCAGATTCTAGTCGGTTATGGAGATTACCATGCATGCCTAGAGGCCATAAATGAGAATAAGAGGGGACTTTGGAATGCCGATCCCAATTCCCAAAACATTTTTGTCATGTTTGTTTGTGTTTACTTTAGATATGATAATTTTATAAACATATATTAAGAAGATGTTTGATTAGTATATAAAAGCACAAACAAAGTGTAAATGTAACCTACTTTCATTTGAATTCTTTATAAACGTATTATTTTTTCCGTCAAAGTCGCAAGAAGTTCAAGAACAATAAGGTAACTTCAAATCTTTAACGGTTTCTCCAACATTTTATGGCTCAAACCCCTACTCATGTCTTGTGTCCCTAACTAAAAGAAAAAATGCATTGGTTTCAATATGGTATTTGTTGATGCAATTGGCAAGATAATCCCCGAACTTATTTTTTTGATTTTACAAGGGTACAATGTAAGTTTTTTAGGTCTAAATGGTCACTGTCACATGGTGAACCGACTATTACAGGTTGACAGGGACTAAAAGAGCAGGTCGTATCCTAATTTAGGGATCCATAAAGCCCGGCAAAAACTTTAGGGACTGAATCGACCAACCCTAACTATATTAACAGTTTTAGAAAATAATATTCAAATATTTAATAATTTTGGGACGTTATATAAAAGTTTGGAAGTAGAATATTGAAATAACTGTTTTTTTTTTTTTTTTATTTTGTTCATAAGTAGAATGGTTTATTACAAATATTTAATTAGGAAAAGATTCGATAGTTAACAATGAAGACTAAGGAACAAATATTTTTCATATAATATATAATGGATATTACAAATACATAACTATATTAACAGTTTTAGAAAATAATATTCAAAATGAAAAAAAAAACATAAATTTACAAATATTTTTTTGTATACAACATTTGATGTTCTATTCATAAGTTTGTCTTCTCAATCTAAAATTAAAAGTTTTAAGTCCTCTACTTTTAACTCTAGATGTTTCAACATAGAATTGTCCATGTGTGGAAACTAGTTGTTTAAAAAGCAAACCAATTTTCGATAGAGATTGCCATTACATTTTATTTATTGTCATCGCAAAATATATATAAGGTGCAAACTATCTTCTTTAAATACATAAATACATACTTATACAAAAGAAATATGATAATTTTTTGATTTATTAAGTATAACAGATAATAGATTTTGAGCTCCTTAGTTATATGGATCGACATTAATTAAATTGATATACCCCCAAACTTTCCTAATATGAAGGGATTGTCTGATTTCTCCACCTTATTATCATTTAAAGCATTTAATCAATTTGAATTTAAATAACCATTATAAAAGAATAAGTGGAATTTGAATAACCTTTATATTTATATAGTCAAATTTATTAAATAAATAATTTATTTAAATTGCATATATTTTTTTGAATTTTATATATAACTTATGAAAATTAAAAACTCATAAAAATTAAAACCTAAAATTATAAGTATTTCATAGTCATAGTTCAGTTTCTTAAGTATCCAAAAGTAAAGAATTTTCATGATAAAAAAACATATAATTATAATTCTGGTCACATTTTAATTTCTAGTGCATATCTAAAAATAAAAATAATCATATGATAAAAGAAAAAAACATATAATTATAATTATGGTCACATTTTATTTGAACACATGTTCATTTCATTTCCAAGTTAATTCCAATATCGTTTGCATCGAGTTTCCATTTTTTTTTTAATTAAAGTTACAAATATATGGTTAAAGACTTTGGATAAAATAGTTCTTGACCAGGAAGTCGTTTGTTGGATTATTGTCTCTAATGTAGTACTATTATTTTATGTAATCAAACTCGTTCATGTGTCACCGAACCTTCCTATTAACCGTCTATAGACTTTCTTTTGATTCAATAATAAAACATTACCTGAATAGCTAACGCTGCACGTGATTTCTTTGGCATTAGTCTACCCTCAATGATCTCATTAGGATTGTAAAAATTGAGTTCCTTGAGCTGCAAGTCTGCAGTAGTTGTGATAAAGTCAACGCCTTGATAGTTGCAGTGAATTTGATTCTCTCCGACGGCTTGATTCCATATGATATCGCCGGCGAGGGGGTAGTAGACTGCAAGAAATCGAGATAAGGAAGCTTTGAGGGTGCTTAATACGGTGGAGAAACTTTCATTAGATGTTTTCTTGAAGCAGAAGAAAAAACCAATGTCAAACGGTGGGACAAGCAAGTCTAGATTCGTAAATGGTAACCAATGATCATTCCATGGTTCTTCTACACCCACAACTACATTATCAATCACCTCAACTGTGAAACACATACCACTACTACTCATGAATGGTGAGTAAAAATGTAAGATGGAATGATGGAAAGAGAAAGAGATGTTGGACCAATGCATTAACAAGACAACAAAATATATATATATATATATATATATATATATATATATATATAGATATATATATATATATATATATATATATATATATATATATATATATATATATATATATAGAGTCTTAAAAATACTCAAACTTTAAATAAACTCAATCCATCACTTCATTCTTATTAAACCCTCTAATGATTAGTTTTCTATTATTTTTTTTCTTTATTTTAATAAAACAATATACATTATTTATAAAATTATTTTAATATTTTAAAATCAATTATCGATATTATACAAAATCATATTATTATTTACTGTTGTTGTTTTTATGTATTTATCTTTATTTTTCTTAATTAAAAATACTTGAATTTTTTGAGGTTTTGATTATATTTATTATTTTATTATTATTATTATTATGTATGTCTACATTATATAACATTGTTTTTGTTTTTTTTTATTACACACATTCTAATAAAAACTAAGATAACTGTCAATGATCAAATATAATTATTTAATATTATTTTTATTGATGTTTTGTTCGTTTATATGTTTGTTTATATGTTTGTGTTTGTTCGTTTATTTGGTTTTAAAGGGTTTTGTAGTTATTTGTTAAACAAATGATCTTAAATATTAGAATTAAATAGTGGACATTCAAAGAAAAAGATGTAATTCTAAACTTTCATGTTTATTTTTTTCTCTAAACCTTATAGGAAATGCAACAAGACGAAGATTCATTTATTATCTAATTAATTTATTCATCTTGAAAATGACACAACTCAACCAAACCCTCTATTGATCAATGAATTTTTTAATGCATGAAGTCTATTTACGTACATAACTTGTTTTCCCCCTAACAAGTCCACAATCACCATCATCATTATCACCTTTCCTTTTTCCTAATCTCTACTCTTCTTCAAACACAATCAATTCAGAACCACATTGCATTCAATGTTGTCTCATGCTATCAAAAATCGTGGTGACGATTTTACTATCAACTAATCATTTGAATGTATCTGAAATTTATACATGTACTAACGGGTTCAAAGTGTGATTTGAATGTATCTCGAATACGATTAGGCCTGTCCCAAGTGTGACCCGAGCCCACCACCCCAAAGGGCCCAAAACTAAGTTTAGGTAGCATAGCTGTTAGCACACATGCAGGGGCGGACCTAGGGGTGGTCCACGGTGGCACCGACAACCCCTAACTTTTCCGGCAACAGTGGAAAAATTTTTGAAATTTTTTGAAATTTTTATTTTTTATACTACCGTGCAACCCCTACTGTAAAATCCTACGTCCGCCCCTGCACACATGGAATAATAGGAATTTCGTTGGCTCAAAATAAACAAATCTGACTTCTTGGAAAACTTCTATTGATCTAAATCGAGATTGGAACGTGAGTAGATATGTGAAGTCGTTGCATTGGAATTTGGAAGTCGAAAATCAAAGAAAGGTGGGTGCAACGTTATAAAAGAGAAATGCTCATAAACTGTAGATTACTAAACTGAATATCCTCAACATTACAATGGTGGAAGCCTATACAGATAGAAATATGTGACCAATGACTTCCATCCTAGCTGGGAAGAGGTACCGGGTTTAATACCCACGTGGGGTCAGAGGTCGGGAGTTCAATTCCTGCAAAACCCAATTTGGGTGCCTCTTAAACTTGTGCCACATGTGAGGAAATTTTCCCTGGAAACCCCTATGGGGGCTGGGTTTGCCCTGTAAAGGAGCTCGAACCCGGGATGCTCGTTGAAATATGCGAATAGGCTTCCGTTTAATCATTTGCTGTTTCCAAAAAAAAAAGATAGAAATCTGTGTTTATTATTAAAGGGTTGAATCACCTCCACAAATCTTACTTCTCAATTTCAAGTTTCAAGTTTCAATCAGGTCATATCAACTTGTTTTTTGTTTTTGTTTTTTTGTTTTATTTTTGTTTTTTGTTTTACATATATGTTTTAAATTCATAGATTAAGTGTGTGTTTAACGGTTTAAATGTTGAATTTGAAACAACACCCAGACCCATTGAAATTGAACCGTTTGTGATATTGTGGACTTTACCGCAACTGGAAGTGTGCAACAACGACACACACTCATCCATTTATTTGTCAAATAATTTGATATCTATCATTTTTTACATGTTTGATTTTTGCCAAATTAGTATTTGTCATCAATATAGGCTTTAGTTGGTTTGACCGGTCAAAAGCCTTGAATTTGAATCTTGTCAAATTTAAATTAAATTTTGTAGAATATAATTGTCTTAATGGATAAACAGAGATTACATAATGTTAAAAAGGGAACAACACCACTAGTATAATCCCCATAGTTACCCTTATGTTTGACCGAATTAAAAGGGGAACTACACCACATAGTATAATTACAATCCTCATAGTTATCTATACTTTGACCCAATTATAAGCCAAAGAAATAACATGGTCCACCAGTTTAGCTGTAAAAATACAGATCATATTGAAGAGTATATCATCCTTTGATTTCCAAATACTCCATAATAAGGATATAATTAAGAGTAGTTATTTTATATGGCAAATCTATTCTTAATAAAAGACTCCTAAAAACTGCCACGTGTCGCCATTATACACTAATACCTTGCCACGTGTTAATATTCCAGCGTTTTACTCACTGATTTTCCCGCCCAACAGCTAATTGTTGTATTCGACCTTCATACCCTATAAATCCGGAAAATCAGGCCATAAAATCAGACGATGATATTCACCCACGTTTCTTCCTCTCCATAAATCAAAATCAAATTTTAAATCCTTCCCAAAATTATGGCCTTAATTTGCGCACGATGATTCCTGTATAGTTGTAAAATGATGAGATAAATGGATTGATTTTTTTTTTCTAAGCATACGTTGATTGAAACCTAATGGCTTTATTTTCTCGATCAATTGGTTAAGTAGGTTTAAATCCACAGAGGTTTGAAGAATCTTGATCCCTTCTCGACTTTTCATGTTGTTGTTTTGCTCTTGATTCATGCCTCTTTTCATTGATGTTATCAGTTACGATTTGTTTACAGTAAACACATAGGGCTGCTCTGATTTGATGAAAATGGACATAAATCGGACCAAGTTTACTCACCGTTTCTTTTCCTTACCAGCGTCGCACCCCACATGACTCACTACCGTCACATCATTGCTTAATGAAGACTTAATCCACCGTCTTTCTTCCCTCACTACCTCAGTCGTAACATCCTTTGTTCTTAGTCTTACAATGTTACATGTTTTGGTGTTTTTTACACTTTTATTTGATTTCTACAGGATAAAGGACAAAAGGCTTAAGGTAAAAGCCCTAGAAAATTTTCTCTCGCTTTACCCAATCAAGAAATTCATCGCACCCCAAGAATCAGTAAGAACTCAACCATGGCATCAGGAAGCAAGCTGAAAATAAAATAAAAACCAGGTTAGCACTTAACCACTTAACCACTTAGCCCTTTTGGTTTTCTTTTAGACAATACATCACCATCGAGCAAGAAATCAGGTTACATATCAATAGCTACAGCAAGAAATCAGGAAATCTTCTCTAAATTTGAATTGGATCAACAAATGGTTCATATCTTAACTGAAGCTCCTGTTTCACGCTTCTAATTTCCATCGCTTCTCCTTCACATCATCTGTAACTCACCAAATCCATTCAAAATATTGGTTGTCATTACTAAGTTGAGGTTACTATTCGACCTCACCCTCAAACCTTAATACCCCTCTTTGGCTTTCTTATTATGCCTACTCATATTTAGTAACGTAGGTTTTTTTTTTCCAAATACATGTTTCAGATAATGAGATTCCTACCAGTGAAGTTTCTTTCAGTTTCATATTTAAATATCAGATATATGAAGGATATGGAGATTAAACTAAGTCTTCTGATGGAAAGAGAACACCTTCATCTGTTTATCCATATGTTTTTTGGTCTCTTGAATCAGTAACTCTTTTTGCACACTACCTGTTTGATAAAATAACTGAACCAAATTCTATAATCAGCAAACCATATAAATTCTATAATCAGCAAACCATATAAATCAGGCGGTGAGATTGATGTGTGTTCTTGGTTATGTAGAGTTTTCTATTTGAGTAAGTTTTAATGTTTGAAACTTTAAATTTTTAAGGCTTTGAAATGTAATTATCATTTGTATTGCATTTTTTCGATAGTAGACAGCGGTATAATTAACTACTCATATTTTGAAATGAAACAAGAACATTCGATGGATCGATTTAGCACTAACATACTTTTTTTCTTAGTTTCAATCCGTAAAGTTACTAGAGTTTCTGCAGGTGCCTTCCAACTCAAACCATTCGAATAAAGAGTCTGCAATTATAATGCATCAATCCGATTGGCTTTTATGGTTTCTCCATGGTAAGATTGGAGTATCCGACTATGATAACACGTTAAATAGATATTTCTATTATCTATAAGCATCTAAAATTTTCCCTTTCATCCCAAATTAATGGGTATTTACAAATTTGAATACTTGGTGTAAAGGTAAAATGTTTGACCTTTAAACCATAAAGTCAATTTTTTTGTATCAGGTGTAAATCTGAATGGTGATTTTAAAATCACTTTTGTTTGTTGGTTGTAGTCATTTTGATTTTTTTTATTTGTGTTCATTTATACTTTGCTCTAATGTAGGGCCTTCATTGTTAATCTTTGTCTCATGATGGAGAGTCGTTTAAATGAAACAAAATCCTTCTATCGTTTGTTGGGCCAGGCTATCTTGAACTACTTGCTCCTCAACAATTTTCAAGAAAAGTGCATGCGTTTCATTTTATTTGCTCAATTGCCAGGTTAAAATTTGTATACAAGACTAACAAATCAGTATATAAATAATTTACATGGTTCTACTTGCAGATGGGTGGTTATACTACCATGTGGATGAACCAAATTTTAACCTTCGGTCTTGTAAAAACGGTATCTTGGAATTTCTGGTATGAGCTGGCAA